ATGAAAATATTTCAAAGAGCAAAAAGTAATTGAAACAATCTAACAATATAACAAAACAGTTAATATCAAAGTTATATATACTGTTTGTGATGTGTTAGATGATTCAAATAAAAAATGCAATACTCAATTAAAAGTTTCAAGTGGCTTAACATCAAATTTAATATCTCATCTCTCAAGCAAACATGGTATTACACAAGATGGTCCTGGATTACCACCTGATGAAAACAAAGTAACAAATAAATTATTAATTTCATGATTAAAAAATTTAATATTTAACTAAATTTGCTTTATTATTTTATATAGCATACATAAACTAAAATTGATTCATTCATAAAAACTACTTATCTAAATAACAAATCAAAAAATAATAGGCTCACTATGGCTCTTATTAAATTTATTATTTGCAATACACAGCCAATTAGTATTGTATCAAATATATTTTTTCATGAATTTGTAAAAGAATTAGACCCAATATTTATGTTGCTTAATAAAAGAAACATCAAACAAATAATTCATATAATATATAATCAATATACCAAAGAAATATGAGAAAAGTTACAAAATATTGCAATAACTTGTTCACTTACTACAGATTTGTGGACAGCCTGCAATAGGCAAGGTTTCTTGGAGTTACCTGTTCATAAATTAGTTTTGATTTCAAAATCTATGAAATACCGTATATTCCTAAAAATAAGCTACCTTTTTTTAGGCAATTTTGAGTAAAAAAAATCGAACGTAGCTTATTTTTGGGAGTTATGATTTTTTAAGAAGTTGGCACTTAATAAAAGGTAGCTTATTTTCAGATTATAAACCCAGAATTTTATTTTTTTTCAAATAAACTCAAATCAGATTCACTTTGGTCTATAAATCTGAAGCATATCTAATTTGAATTCACTTTTTTTTTTATTTCAATATTCTGGTATGTACAGCTTTTTTATTTTTATTATTTTTTTTTTTTAAATTCAAATGATTTGTGTGATACTGTTTGCTATTTATATTTATGCTATATAATAGAATCGATATGCATAATTTCTTTAAAAGAATTTGTCATTTTTATTGTTACTTAGAAACTTCGATATTATAATATACTAATACGATTCATTTCAGATATGATTCAGATATTGATACAGTTCAAGAGCATGTAAGCTATCATTGAAATATTCATGTATATACTATTTTAAATTAATGCAAAAAATATATTTTCTTGTAATTTTTGAATGTTTTGATCTTAATTATACTTTGGTTTTTTGTTTTTTTTTAGAATTATTCACTTTTTTTCTCTGGATTTTTTGCTGGTTTGATTAATTGATAATCAATGATTATCAAAGAACATGGTGAAAAGCAAAGAACTACAACAAAAGAATCGTGAACTCAGCCCTCTCAGCCCCCTAACCAACAAAATTTTATATGATTTGTTATTTTATCACTATAGTAAAGATTAATTTTATGCTTTGCCACATTCTGAAAATATGCACTATATTTATTTACCAATAGCAATTTAGATTCAGATCAGACTATATGGATATATATGTAACTATTTTACTTGAAAGGTGATAAGATCATACTGTACTATAATCTTAGGCTATATGGATCACAGTATGATCACTTTACATGACAAATAAAAGATTTAAACTTAATGCACCAGATTTGATTTAATGCATCAACTTTGGCCCCAAAAAGGGCCAAATTGGTACATCATATTCGAGACAGAATATTTTATGATGAAAAGGAATACTTTAAATCTAATGCATCAGCTTTGGCCCAGAAGGGGCCCAAACTGGTGCATTAAATTTAAGACAGAACTTACTGTTACTATCATAATTCTCAAAACACTGTGGTTTCAGCATAATAGATTCTATAAACTGATACATATATATATATATATACATATGTAATTAAGATCAGATAACTAATATAAATATTATGCTGTTATGTATCTTTCAGATCAAATACAGAAACATAATACTTTAAAGCATCTTCATTGGCGAATTAAATAAATTCTTGTGATTACATACGTGATTTTGGTGACGATACTAGATGGGTTCATTGATCTGAATTTACTAATTTTTACCACCATTTCTGATTGTTTCTAGTATTCCGCAGATCCAATCCAAAGATTCAGATCTGATCTGGATCTGGTGCTCGGATCGGATCCGGATCTATAATAAATCAGATCCGTCAAATCCGGATCCATATTGAGATCTGATCTGGTAGATCTGTTTGGATCCATTCAAATAACGAACAATGATTGGCTGAAAATATTATATTCTGATTGGTTTATATTATTTAAAAAAAAAGTATTACGATACTATTATGATATTACGATAATCCTTTAACTTCTAAACTATCTAATCTCTAAGCGGTCTAAAGAAAAAAAAACGGGGTTTTTTTCTTATATTATTATATCTTATGCCGATCTTATAAGTTCAACTCTAAGTTTTCTAAGTATTCTAAGCCGTCTAATCCTTCTAAGTCTTCTAATCCATAATGTAAAAGAAAGAGACGTTATGATGAATTTTAGATTTTAGACTTTTTTTTTTTTTTTTTTTTTCTTGAAATTTTTTTTTTTTTGATATAAGAACTTTGTGTTACGCGTTATGATGAACGCAAAGCTTTTTTTTTTTGAAAAACTTTTTTCTGATACCAGACTTTTTAAACTTCAAAATTGTTCACCTAGTGATGCTTTTTATCACAATATTAACCTCATCTATGCCCTATGGGAAGTTTAGTAAATCTGATTATGAACATGTGCCACCTCATAGGGAGTTTAGTGAATCTGATTATGAACAAGCATCTACTTACATAGACGAAGATGAAGCCAGAGCCGAAGTCAGTAAATCACCTTCAACACAATCAGGTGTTAGTAATAAAACTGTGCGTTCCAGGTAGGAGGCTTCGTAGTATTAAGCAACTTAGATTTTTTTTTTTTTGAAAATATTTTAATAAACTATTATTATCTGATTTACTTACTGGTTGCTTTATATTATAGATCTTTTGTATAGAACTACTTCAAAAAAAAAGGTGGCAATGCGACCTGTGATTTCTGTAACATGAGTTTAGTATATCATGATGGTACTATATCAAATCTTAAGAAACATCTTAAAGCACATAGAAGTAAAGTACCTGAATTAAAAAGTCTGAATGTAAAACAAGGCA